CCGCCCAATGGGGGACTTTAGTATTTCTTTTAATGCCGTACCAATAGGCATTAACCTTAGGTAAGCTTACTTTGGACTATACCCTCCTCATCCTCTGGGGGAGGTAGAGAGGGGGGGGGGCGCATGGCCTCTATTTTTCAGTGGGGGTTCGGGTACTGGTTGGGGGTCGGGTCGATGTGTACTGCACTCTCGAATTGTCCCCTCACTAAAGCTACTGTGGATTTTGATTTTGACTATACAGCTATCCTTACTCAACGCGCCCATGTGTCCGGTAATCTCCAATACAAATCAACCTGTGAGGTTTTAGTATGCAGCTTTCGTCACTCAACGCGTCTATGTGTCCGGCAGTCGCAAACGTCACTCAACCCGTTAGGTCTCAATATGCAGCTATCCTCACTCAAAGCGTCTATGTGTCTGGCACTATCCAACATCACTCAACTCGTGAGGTTTCAGTATGTAGCTATCCCCACTCAGCGCGTCTATGTGTCTGGCAAACTCAAAAACCAATCCATCTGTGAGGTTTCAGTATGCAGCTGTCTCCACTCCACGCGTCTATGTGTCTGGCAACTCAAAAACCAATGCATCTATGAGGTTTCAGTATGCAGCTATTCTCACTCAAAATGTCTATGTGTCCGGCAATCTCCATCACAAATCACCTGTGAGGTTCAGTATGTGTCTATCCTCACTCAAGGCGTTTATGTGTCCGGCACTCCGACATCACTCAACCCGCGGGGTTTCAGTGTGCAGCTTTCCCACTCAACACGTCCATGTGTCTGGCAATCTCATACCTCACTCAGGGGTTTCAGTATTCAGCTATAATCACTCAACACGTCTATGAGTCCGGCAATCTCCTACATCACTCAACCTGTGAGGTTTCCGTAACCTATCCTCACTCCACTCATCCATGCGTCACGCGACTTTGGTAGCGCATACTATGGGGGCTATATTTGGGGTGGCGTGTTTTACAGCGCTTTGCCAACAGCGCCAACCCACTTGAGTCTAGAATGGGGGCTCGAGCAGGAAGAGTGCGAGCGTCGCACCATCTACCACGTTGACCGGCACGGCCGATGTGGGCGGCGGCGAGGACGACCACCGCAGCAGCAGCTGCCGCGGTAGCGGCGGCAGCGGCAGCGACAGCAGCAGCGGCAGCGACAGCGAGACGGATCTCCCGGCGCTCTGTGGGCCAGAGGTCCGGCGGCTCGCCCGCTTCGACAAGGCGGCGAAATTAACCAGCCGCCGCACCAGGGAGGACCCTAGCCGAAACCTGAATTACGAGTCGCCCCCGTCGCCGACGAGTGCCGAAGCCCTGCTCGCCTCGGTGGCGAGTCTGCCCGTCAGCAGCACGGAGGAGTTCACCAGCTGGATGCTCTCCGCGGTACTTCACCTGGCGGAAGGGCTAGAGGCGAGGGCGGTGCGAGAGTTGCTGTTCGAGCGCGCGGAGGAGGCCCACGCTGCGCGCCAAGAGGAGGAGGACTTCCTGCTGGGTGCGGTGGACCTCATGCTCAACTCGCCAGACGCCTTCGAGACGGCTCTGGCGTCCCACGAGCTAAGTGAATCCCCCATAGGACCGAAGCGAGATGACGAGAAGGGAGGGGAGCGGCCGGTGAGGGAGGCCATCGGCAGCATGATGTGGGTGTCAACGTTTTCGCGTCCAGACGTCTCGTTCGCCATGCGTGCGGTAGCGCGCCCCGCCCATGCCCCGGCGAAGAGGCACTGGGATGCCATCCAGAAGATCCTCGGCTGCTTTAAAGGGACGAGGGACCTCGGCATCACCTACCAACGGGGATCGGGGTTGGGCTGATCGTGTAAGTAGACGCTAGCTACGCCGACACGGAGGATAAGCGTTCGGTGTCAGGGTTGGCGACGACGGTTGGAGGTACCGTAATAGCGTTGGTGCAGAACCCCCTCAGCTCAGGTCGCACGAAACACATCGTGAGATTTCATTTCATCCGCGGATTGTTTAGGTCGGGGGATATTTCCGTCAAGTTTGTTCCGACAACGGAGCAACACGCGGACCTCCTAACCAAGGCCTTTAGCAGGGCCAGTCTGCAGTACCACCGACGCAAGTTGATGAATTTGCGGAGTAGCTGTAGCAGTTTCTAGCACTTGGGAGAGGTCACGTTTTCCATGAGGGGAAAGGCGCATAACTGTTGCGGTCTTTGTACCAATGGCAGGAGTAGAGGGCATTGGAAGACCATCGTCCGGGGGAACGTAGTTCCTCGCGTTCTTGTCTTCGCCTTGGCCTTTCTGTTAAGTGCGGCCGTTGTGATCCGCTGTGATAGCGACGGTTTTTGTGGTGGTAGTGTTTTTTGTTTTTTCGAGGGGTTTTGCCCGGACGCCGGGTTTCCCCTTCATATATTACCATGTTAGTATTTTCTGATGTAGCCAGGGGCCTTCTTGCCCCATTGATGGCTAGTCACTTGCGTGATGAACCAGGGAGGGTGTTCGTGGGTCTGCGAACATTGGTGTTGGATACACCTGCTGTATCATTTGTTGTCACGCAAATTGGTAAGATTTCCGTTTGGTAGGGGGCATCGCGATGATTCACGGGGCCCCTACTTGCTGTGGGAGCCGCTCTTTGAGCACTCCCTCGTTCGTCCATGTGATGGACGATCGCCTACCTCTCGTGAAGTTATACATCACCAAGAAAATCTCACCCGATAAATAGTGGCGTAGGCCGCAAACACACCTACGCTGGACACGTCACTTGCTTCTGCGGACGAGGTCGCCGCACACGAGAAGCTGCTGCTGCTCAACGACTTCAAAGAAATAAAAAGTGGCAAGCTGTTCTATTGTTGTGTAGACGTAGTTACGCTTTTGAATTAGCAAACCTCGGTGCAATCGACACACACCTGAAATGTCTGCTGCTGATGGTAATGACACAAAGACACCGGCATTGCCGCCATATTATACCCGGCCCCGTCCAAAATGCATTCATTCCTCGTCGTTGTGTACCTTTTGAAGCGCCGAGGACCATCCGGCATTTACCTAAACAGTATTGATGTTCTCGTTGATGGGTCTCCCGATTTTGGCGAGCTGCTTTCGTCTCCCGGTTTGATTGTGAGATGCGTATGTATGTATATCGCGTTGGTGAATGACTGAGTCATTTATTATTTCTCTCGCTTTGAAGTGCGTCACCTCTTTGGGTAGTTAGCCTGTGACCACGGAATGCATCCGCGCCTGTTGAACCGGTACGGACGTATGGAGGTACTCAACAGATACCGCAACTGTTGATACAGCGGTGAAGACAACAACAGCAACAACAACATACGACTTTCCTGTTTGTAGACCATCGTTTTTTGTTCTTCTACCACTCACGGCGCACAGCATGATGACACTCCGTCACCACCAAAACATAGAGTAGTATGCTGTTGCAAGGAGTTGCTGACTTGATAAATGTGACAAAAGATTGACATCAACACCGCAGAAAAGACGGTAATTACCGGCTTTACAGGGGTTCGTGTCATGAAAACAAAAGAGAGGTCCTGCGAGACCACCACTCACATTTCTCCCACTCCCACCTCATAAGCTCCATCCAGCTCACAACCTCCATGATGCCCGCGCCCACCATTCGCAACCAGATCGCGCACGATAGGCATCTCTCACAGGTCTCCTGGGTTTGCGCGCTGACTATCGTCCCTCTCTCTCCGCGCTCCGATGGTCGATGATCCCCGCCGCATTTTCTCTCCCCCACCGCCGCCCCCGGTGTTTGCCATTGGGATTGGGTTTTCGTCGCTTGGCAACGACGTTGTAAAACAAGCCAATTTACTTCGTGAACTCGGCAACCAGGATACCGTTTTTTTTTTTACCTGCGTTAGTTTTTTTGGCGGTAACCATAATGGTGGTCGAGTAGATCATGTTGTGCGGGGTCGAGAACCCTCACCCCGCGCAAGGGGGATGATCGCACCACGTTGTGTTAAAATGGTCAAGCGCCCTCGAGGCAGTTACACAGCGCTTACAACTGTCTCTGGAAGTGAAGCACCAGAAAGTAAATTAAGTCATACGCAGCTGTCATCCGTACGCAAGGAAGTAAGCACAAGATGCCGAACACCCTTAGCAGGATGCAGCGCACCCTT